CGCACGCAATTATGAACAACAAGTGGTTGATCAATTTTGGAACAATGAAAAAAGGCATTTTGTGATTGTGTTGCTAATTACAACTGAATATATCAATAGATTGACTTCAAATTTTGTGTACGTAGACTACAGACCATGAACTAGTATATGACAAAAACCAGACAGTTCTAGCTTATTTAGCTTCTGAAGTATGAACAAAACAAAAAAATTGATTAAGGTAGTTGATCAATTTTGGTACCCACTGTATATAAGTTCTATCTTGAAGTATTTTAGCTTATTTCGTGGGTTGAGTATAATTGCTAACATGTTAATGGTGAAGATATCTCAAAAGAAGGCGTATAACATATTAAAAGTTTATACTAGCACTAAAACAGACTGAAATTAAACTTTGGGGAAATAGTTTTTTATAAATGGAAGTGTATTTGACTTACGCGTTGAACAAGTGATCGAAAGAGTAAAATACTCATACGAGATATCTGTCGTTTTACACTAAAGTTCCAAATATAATTTGCAATTGAGTTGGTTAGAAATTGGACAGCATTAATAACTAGATCGTAAAAGAAAGAAAGGAATTTTCCATTATTTTTTATTATCAAATAATTGCGTTCCTTTCACTTACTGAATAACCAGTGAACTATGTTCATCACTTTAGCTCGAAATGAAGGTATTAATGTAGCTAAAGTTGAGAACAACATTTCATCACTATTATTGCGCAGTCTAAGGTAAAAAAACATCAAAGGAAATCAAAGAAATACATAGTAACTAATAATAGTTTTGAGTGTATTACTTATGTGATGAAGTATTGCTGAATGTATTGAGTTCGATTCCTTGAGGATATGTACTGTTGTTATTAATTGAAACTATTAAATTTTGATGTTGGTCAACACAATTATCACCAAATGATTTAATAACAAATAATCCTGTGATCCGACCGAAGAGAACTAGGCTGACGAGACCACAAACTACATATAACACTGTGAAGCATACACTAATGAGCATCAGAACTAAATCGAAACAATTTGCAAACTGAAACTGCAGTAAAATCGAATACATCAATCAGTTTGTATTTCGTCTGAATATACTTACTAAACTAAAAACACCAACTGCTTCATCTTTGTCACCATGTTCAGTATCATTATCTAATTTTATATATTTATTATCGTTGTTATTTCTACTGAAACAACGTCGCCAATCAGAAAATCTATGAAAAATGATAAACCCATTATATTCTTCTCGAAGTTATTTACTTATTAACTCATACCTATTGGTCAAAAGTTGTTGCTTGTTTCCATGATTGTCATCATCATAATCAATAGACAATTTACTAGATGCATTTAATAAAGGTTGTCTATCACTCATTTGATTTTTTCCAACAAGACTATAATGAAAAAATAAATATTCAAGATAACTATGCAAGAATGCTACGTTAAAAAGCAGCCTGTTTGGTTACTTGACTGCTCATGGAGTTGTGTTCTTTTTTATTTAGTTTTTTAATCAAACCTAACGGTGTGTCCAATTAAGCAATGAAAGGCAGTGTTGTGCTTTATCCCAGATACATAGATAAGCCATGAATTGGCTCGTCACCTAATAGATACAAATAAATGTGCCGTTCCCACTTGAATCTATTGTGTATCATGATTTAGTCTCACTGTTCGGTTTAATTGACTGTTGATACATGAAGTTTAACCTTTCCTTATCATTTTTTAAATTATCATATGCCTTGTCCTTCTCTGGTCATTTCTTTTTTATCACATGCTTTTTTTCTCCCTTTTGTCATTACTGTGCATTGTTAACCATCTCTCTCCTAATTGCCTATATAAACGTGTGCTTTGTATGTCAATCGTACGATTAATGATACGAAGTAACTAAATAAAGCGGAATTTCATCTGCGCTAATAGTTCTTCTATCAGAAATCGTCACAACAAATAAAATACGAATATAAACAAGTCACATAAACATGCTAAGTAATATAAACCGAAAGAGGATAAAAATAAATTTAATGAACCTTTTTTACTTGATTACAAATCAAATGTAAGCTAGAATGGGCATAAAAAATAAAAAAACCAAACTTTCTCAAACATTTTCACATTGTATACGATTGTCAGACTTCAAGTTTGAAATTAATGAGTTTTATTAAAATTACGTAAGAAAAAAAGAAACATGATAAGATGAGATAGCTAGACAATGACCAACTTGACGATACACGGATAAAATGTGTCGCATAATAACTGAGGATAAATTGTTCATGATATTTTTGACACTTTTTCTTGATGTGGAGAGCTGAAATTTTTATCATACATGTATTTAGTCAAAATCTATTATTTCTAAAATTTTCAGTCGTCTATCTATAACTAGTGGTGAAATACGCCGTGAAGATCGGAATATATAAATTTTCCTACTCGAGTTTTGCATTATTATCACTGTCCAAGTAAAATACAAAACTGAGTACAAATATGTATCTATTTCAATCTTGTTGATGTATTTTATCCTTAGTTATACCTAGAAAGCTGAAACTTTCAGAAATAAAAGATCTTGATTAAATATATGTAATAAAAATTTCACCTCTCTATGTCAAGAAAAAGTATTAAAAATGTCCTCAACAAATTTATCTTCAATTGTTAAGAGACATTTTTTATGTACGTCAATCTTTTCTACGTATTTCACCATTAATTAAAGCTACACAGCTGAAACTCTCAGAAAAGATCTTCATCACAGATTCGTGTGATAATAATTTCAGATCTCTATATCAAGAAAATGTATAAAAACTATATTAACAATTTAACTTCGGTTATTATAGAACACTGTATACATACATGTAAAGGGCATTCCATAAGTAGGACCCTATTTTATTTTTTTAGATCTTTGTCATATTTAAAGGGGAAGAGGTATTGAATATATATATGGGTGTGAGAAGTCGGCCTGATACCCCATTTTGGTAAAGTCCTATTGTAAGGATAAAACATACTATTGTTCGGGCCATATGATAGAGGATCATAGATAACCCTGGATTGGCCCGAACAACACCATGTTTTATCCTT